TGGTGGAATATTTAGGCCTGTCCAAATTGCCTTTGCGTTATGACATTCAAAGAAAATATGAGTTATAGTTTCGGGGATCAAATGACATTGAGTACACAAAGGTGAATGAATAATTCCTAACCTATTTAGATAGTCAGTTGTAGGAAGTCTACCATGACATAATAACCATATAAAAAAAGAGATTTTAGGCGGTATTTTAAGCTTCCAAATCCACTTGTAATTGAAGTAATTATTATTATTAGGTTGATTGAATTCAGTTATAATCGCATGGTACATAGACTTCACGGAGAATTTCCCATTATGAGTAAGTGACCAATAAAGTTGGTCATATCCAGTGGGCAACATTGGTAGATAAAGATTATTGATTTCATGTTGTAAAGAAGGAGATAATTAAAAAGGTAGTTTATGAAGGTGCCATTTGTGATTTACATAGTAGTCGGACACTAGCTTGCTATCCTCACCTTTAGGAAGGGGTCCTGAAATATGATTGCGGAGTAAAGAATTCTGAGTTAGCCAAGGTTCATTACAAAAGTGAACATGTTTACCATTAATTATATTCCATTTATAACCTAGTCGACAGTGTGACCAACCCTTAAGAATATTGGACCATGTTCTTGAAGGATGCTGTTTTATTAAATGAGATGGCCTTAGATAAGTATGTAGTAAAACCTGGGCCCACAACTGATTGGAATTTTGGAAAAGCCTCCAAGCAAGGCTAGCATGCAAAGCCTGATTCTTAGTAGTAAGATTTTGAATCCCCAATCCCCCTTTTTCTAATGGTTGTGTAACCAAAGACCATTTAATAAGATATAATTTTTTCTTTTGAGGTGTAGTGCCCCAAAGAAAATTTCGTTGGTATTTATTAAGGGAGGAAATAATATAAGAAGGAAGTGTGATATATTGCATGATATGGTTAGGAAGGTTATTTAAAGTGGAACGAATTAAAGTAGTCCTCCCAGCCTTGCTTAAAAAGTGGGTTTTCCAACCTGCCAACTTAGCTTTAAAATTATCAATCAAAAATTGATAATCTCTTTTATTTGGTTTGGTATTAAAAATAGGAAATCCTAGATATTTACCAAAAATTTTCCCTTCAATCATATGGAAGAGATGTTTGATGGAATCCTTAGTATTAGTACCTTAGTATTAGTAGCACAATTCTTAGAGAAGAATATTCTTGATTTGTCAAAATTTATAGTTTCTCCTGAATGATGTGTAAATTGAGAAATGGTATTAGTTATGGACTGGCATGAATCAGGAGTAATTTTGGATAATAAAATAATATCATCTGCGAAAAACAGGTGTGATAATTGAGGTCCTTTATTACCCAGTGAAATTGGATGCCAAATATGATAGTCAACTTCTGAATTTATTTTTCTTGAAAGCATTTCCAAGCATAAAATAAAAATATAAGGTGAGAGAGGGTCCCCTTGCCTTATGCCCCGTGTAGGTATAAAATATTCAGAAGGTGTACCATTAATAAGAATAGCTGTGGTGGTGGTTGTGATACAAGACATGATTAACTTAATAAAAGGATAAGGAAATTTAAAACTGTGTAATGTGTTATAAACAAAAGACCATTCCAACTTATCAAAAGCCTTCTCCAGATCCAATTTGAGAAGCATGTTCAAATTATTACCCTTCATCTTACTAAAGTTGTACATTATTTCTTGCACAATAATAGCATTATCAGCTGCGCGTCTATTTTTCTGAAAGCTAGATTGAATAGGATGGATAAGGTGTTCCAATACTGGTTTTAATCTATTAACTATCATTTTTGTGATAATCTTATAGATAGTATTGCAAAGGCTAATAGGTCGGAATTATGCGATAGTGGATGCATCCTTATTTTTAGGGATTAGGCAAATGAAAGTAGAGTTATAGTAGGGTCAATTTGATGGTCCAAGAAAGCTTTATGACAAAAATATTTTACTGAGTTTCCTACGATATGCTAATATTTTTGATAAAACAATGGATGAAGACCATCTGGTCCAGGTGCCTTAAGTGATTGGAAGGAGTGAACAACAGTAAGAATTTCATGATCCTGTACTGGAGCTATCAAACAAGATTGCTCTTTATCAGTTAATACATTATAAGTATGTACTAAGGTGGTCCTACTAGATTTTATATTTTCAGTGGTAAACAATTTATGATAATATTGAGTAATATTATCACAAATTTTGTATGGATCAGTGATCCAATTCCCACCTAAATCTTGTAGTGCAGTGATACGATTGTGCCTTCTACGAATAAGAGTTGTGAGGTTGAAAATTTAGTATTTGCATCCCCGTTATTCAACCAGTTAATGCGTGATTTTAACTTCCAAAAATCCTCCTCAAGTCGGAGTATTTCATTATATTCTAAAGTTAGCCGTGTCTCTAGACTTTGTAAAAAATTACTAGTTGGATAGTGAATGGAAGCTTGAAGACCACCTAGTCTGGCCAAAATTTTCCTTTTACGCTTAAAAATATTCCCAAAAGTATTTTTATTCCAAACTTGGATATCTTCCACGAATTGATCAATAGCTGGAAGTAAGTGAATTTTATCCAACCAAACTTGTTCAAGTACTTTAGTGAAGGAAGGATGTGTAGTCCATATAGTTTCTAGCCTGAAAATTCTTTTTCTTGGCAAGGAACAATGTTGAATTTCAACTTTAATAGGACAATGATCAGAGTGGGTGCGGGGAAGGTGTGTTACCAAAGCATCAGGATAGTTATTTAACCAACCATAATTTGCTAACACACGGTCTATACGTTCAAGAATATTTACCCTATTATGTCTACCATATGTCCAAGTGTAACGACTGCCCTTAAATCCTAAATCTGTGAATTTACAGTAATTAAAACAGTCTAACAACTTATTTGCTCTAGAATTATTAATAGGGAGGCCACCAAATTTATCTACTGCATGTACTATCTAATTAAAGTCCCCCCCAATCAACCATGGTCACTTATAATTATCAAATATACTCCTAAGATTATTCCATAAGGTGAGTCTAGCTGCTAAAATCATTACTTGCATAAATAGCACTAAATAGGAAAGTAAAGGGTAACGGAAAAACCTGTATATGACAGTGTATTTCTTGGATAGATGTGGCCACCTGCTCAACAGTTAAAAGAGTAGTATTCCATAGGATCACAATCCCACCTGAGTGCCCTATAGCAGGAGCTTCAAGCATACCTATGAACTCAAAATCATTCTTTAAAATTTGGTGTGATCGGCAATGAGTCTCTAAAAGGACCACTAGTGCAGGTCTGTTATAATCCAATAAAGACCTAAAATTCCTTCTGAATTCCACTGATTGGGCCCCTCACAATTCCAGATTATGAAATTCAAATGGCTTATGTTGGAATCATTTGAACTATTACTGGACTCTCCTGGACGAAGCCTGAATGTGGGGAGAAATAACATTGCATATTTCCCCACCGGTGGGTTTTTTGTTGGCCTTAAGCGGAATTAAGTTGCTAGCAGATTTTGCGGGCACCTTATGAATATCTTTCTTTCGAATTCTTCCTTCTGCACAAAGACTTTGATTCTATCCATGCATGCATGGATTGGTCTTGTCTCTCTGTTGTATACGATTGCTGCGTCTAATTCTGCCTGAAAATTCACTGCCAGTACTTCTTGTTCTTGTGGATTGTGATTCTGAGGAGATAGAGGAGGAGGTGGTGGAGTTGGTGAGGGAGGAGTGGCCCTCAAAAGAGGTGTGTGGGGCTGTGACTCCCAGTAGGGCTGAATCCAAGGAGTGTTCAGAGTAGGAGGAGGATAAAATGGCATTTGTATGAGAGTTGAATGGAGATGAGTATGATCCCAAACTGGAGTTGGTAGTGGCAGAGGTTGGAATGGTGAAAGATGGGGTGCTTGCATCATGGACCAATGGTACCGAGCATAAATTTTCGTTCCCAATTGCATCCCTTCAGCAACAATTTGGGCTATGTCCCTTGGATGGTTGATGAGTATCGTCACTTCCTGTTGATTGACTTCCATGGTGAATGTCAATGCATGATTGTGTAATCCCGCCTCCAGCCAAGATGCTAGGAGTGTTGGTGCATGTGGTGTGTGAGTCGTGTAGATGATGGAGTTGGGCTCCATTATGAGATGTTGTGGTGGGTGGGAGGGAGAGGTGGGATTGTGGTGTAGATGTTGAGTATTCTGCCTTGTGGGTGCTCTTTGTCGTCTGAGATGATTGAGGAAATTGAAAGGAAACATTTTCTACAATGAGATGCTCAGTGTTTGAATTCGTCAAGAGGTTAGGGTCTATATTTGGTGTATTAGGAGGAGATGGAGTAAGTTCAATGGTTGTGGGAGTCGGTTGAAAAGATTGACAAGAGGGTGGTGTATTTGATTGGGGGATAGTAGTGGAGGACTCATTATGGCCTATTTGCATGGCAGTAGTAGATTGAAATGATGGACTGTTTTTGATATTTGAAGGAGGAGGTGGAATAGGGTTTGCTAGTTTGAGGGAATGGTTATCTAGTGTAGTTGAAGACGGTGATGTTTGGGATTGGGGCATGGTTTGCATGTGGGAAGTGTTGTCGTGTCCATTTGCATGGTTAGGACTAGGGTTTGGTTTTTGAGGAAGAGTAGGTTTTGAATTATTTTGTGATTGGACCGAGTCTTTGGATACTTGAGTAGTTTTTGAGAGTTGACCATTAGTAGATAATTGATTTAGGAAAGGGTTATCATTATTTGGTGCATCATTTTAATAGTGCACTAAATTTATTAGTAGTTAAAACAGTGTTATGGGAGGGGGTTAACTCAGAAACAGTCGTAGGAGAAGTTGCACAATTATTTAATGTTAACTTAGTAAAGGGAAGAGTATTAGGATTAATTATTCCTTGCTTACCTGACGAAATTCCCACCCTTGTCACCACTGGTGGTGTTGTTGGCAATGGATTAGTCGTGTAAGTAGTTCGTTTGAGTGTAGATTTTTTTGAAAATTGAACAAGCTTCCATGCTTCACTAGTGGAGGTAGAGTTACTATCACTCATGAGCTGTTCCTTCTAGGCATTCTCCATTGAAGAATCAAGCTTTTTAGTATAATTGCATGTCCGTTGATTATGCCCCATGCGACCACAGTTAATGCAAAGCAAATTTAGTCCCTCATAAAGGATAATTTGTTTATGATGACCAATGTATAGATGAGTCTTTAAAGGCTGATCAAGTAGTACTTCTACACATAATCTAGCATATTGTCTTCTAGTAGTGGAAGAAGTACAAGTGTCCATCGATAAGAATTTACCTATTTTTTGACCTAATTTTTGCAGAATTTGGTAATCGTAAAATTCTGTAGGTAATTCAGGTAAACGTAACCAAACCGCGGAGGTTGTTAATTTTGTCTCAGAAGCCTTAAACTTGGGTTCCCATTGACGAATAGAGAGAAAATGATTTAAAACAAACCAAGGGCCACCCTGTAAAGCATGAATTTTATTTTCCTCTTTTTGAAACTTAAGTAGGAAAAAATCTGACCCTAAGTCTATTAGAGGAAGGTTTTCAGTTGGTTTCCATAATGCATAAACTTTTTGTCGAAGTAGTTGATGCTCAACTTTACGACCATAAACCATAATAATCACAGCATGTTGCCATGGCTGATACAGCCTATGTTTTTCCTCCACAGATAAAAGTATAAAATTTGAATGATCAGTTGGTGCGTCAAATTCATCTATATTCTCCAAACTATCAGTGACTAGTTGTGGAGATATATGCTGTGTCAATGAAAAGTTATTTGTGTTTAAAGTTTGGAGATATGATTTGGCCAAGGGAGGAGAAGCAGTAACTGAATCCTGTCTGTCAATATTCATATTAGTAGTCATGTTAGAATTGTGATTGGGGGAAGTAGATGATGGTGAAGTCGGAAGAGGGCTTAGGTCATCCAAAAGACTGTTAGTTGAGAAGTTACGATTTTCACGGGTAAAATATTTATTAATATGATCAACCAAATTGGTAAATTATTTATTCATTTAATTGGATCATTCGTAGTAGATCCGGCAAAATTTAGTAAACATTCCATCAAGGGCACATCAATAAGAACGAGAAATTCCGTAATTAACGTAAAATATATTAACCTTTTAATTAGTGCTAATGCCAATCTCATTTCATGTACTCTCAAGATGCTAAGATTTCAAAAATGTTTTAGGAAATAATTAATATTGAAATTCTTTTTAATTTAAACTTTAGAACATTATAGTAGATATGTGATGATTATGCTAACAAATTTATATCTATTTATTGTGTAATCAAACACTCCCTGATAAACAGTCAAAAATGAGTTTTTTCCACCTTTGACTAAAGAGCGTTCGCATTAGATTAAGAATTATGCTAAAATCTTTCAAGATTAGAACGAATGAGCAATTATTATTTATTTTTTAAAATATATGGATCTAAAGGGGAAAAAGAAGACATGCAAACCACAAAAATCCAAATGAAGTAATAACGTTTAGATTAAAAACTTACATTAGTTAAAAATATATTTGAACGCAAATAATTACACCTTCATTTCAAACGAGTCTGTTATAACTAACTAATCCATATCACTTCATCTTGCAGTCTCACACTTTGTTTAGTGTTATACAAATGTCTAATTGAAATGACCATTTATAATATACTAGAGATGCAAGTGATCATTAATTGTAACGAGTGGTATGGGTCATATGAATACTCTGTTTGTTTGAACAAAAAGTTTTAAGTCCTTTTTGTTAAACCAATAAATAGATGGAGGGCAAATCCTAGCTAGAAATAACTTATTCTAGATCTAAAATAGAAGATAGGAATAAACAAGTATAAATGAACATAAACTTTGATTACAGTTATGATTGAGTTTCATAATGGGAGAAATAGATGATTGTTCTAATAATATCAAATGATGATAAAGAATACATAAATGAAAAGAGTCACCATCTTTGAACAAGATCGACCTCCGCATATTTGATAAAGTTGAATTACAAACGAATATCGAGATTCTAAGCTCTTCTCCTTTTTCCGGCGAGGGGCCAGAGATCAGGGAATATCTTCTCCATCAGAGAGATGCACATATTTTTTCATGTGTGTGTTTCTCCTAGCCCCTTTTTTGTTACTCTCTCCCCAGATATTTATACAAAATACTTTCCTTACTCAGCGGTCCTTAACTGGAGTGCCTAAATTCTTGGAATATCCCGTAGAATATTTCTCTAAAATGTCTATTTGTTGAACTAGCCGTTCGGGCTGAATTGAGTACTCGACCTCGACCATAGCTAAATCATTCGCTGGTATATTGCTTCCTATACGTGACTTCGGCTTGGTTGATTCTTGGTCGTTCCTCCTTAAGTAGAATTCTTTTGATCAGATTTTGACCTATACAGTTAGTCCCTCCGCCCATTGGGGTCGCCTTTGGGCGAGCTTGGTGGGCGGACTTCGCTAGTTGCACCTTTTGAAAAATCTGAGCACATTGGCTGAAGAGTGACCCTTCATAGCGAGATAACGATGCGATGTTTCGAGGGCCGTATTTCATCGTTATGTCAGTTCAAAATGATGTCAATCTGTCATACGTCATTATGACACACGTTCCCTATACGTTACTTCATTTCCCGTGCCTCCTCTATTTTAGAAGTAACGTGACGGCGTTTGGTTTTCCCGCTCAGGATGTTTGTATTCTTATAAATATAGGAGAGAACTCCTCATTAGGGGTTGCTGTGTTTCCTATATATTTTTTGAAAAACTTCGAGGCTTCTATTTTCTCCTTCTTCAGGTTCTTACGTCTCCACCTCTCTCCTTTTGAAGTTTCTTGCCAGTGTTACTCCCTCTACCTTAGTACTTATCATCTACATAACCAAAGAAAACATGGCTAGTGCACCTTCTACCTCTGGTAGAGTCACCGGTACCGTTGCATCGGAAACGGACGTGCCCTCCCATGAAGAATGGACGACCATTGTGGAAGATGAGAATTTTCCCACCGTGGATGAGATAATTCCACGCTCGGGGAAAGCCAAGACTGATTTCAAGAACTTACCTGACGCCGATCCTGAGCCCGTCATTTTAGTAGTGGACGCTGCGGCGCTTAAAGATAAGTGGAGGATTCCTGATCACGTTGGACTCATTCCCGCGGGTAACGACGTCGTACAGATACATTGCCCGGGGTACTGCGTGTTTTATGCGTACCCGTTTGTCATCGGTTACACACTTCCCCTTCCTTACCTGGCAGAAGACTTCTATCGCTATTATGGGGTGTGCCCGGCTTAGCTCTCTCCGTATTTATACAAGCTCTTCCTCATGCTTACCAAGTACGCGGAACTGGCCGGTCGGGGATTTCTCTTAGTCACTTGCTTCACCTCTTCGTACCCTATTTTGACAGGGGTACCATGATACATCTTCGTCACCGTGGGACCAACGGCTTCGTGGTTAAGATGGACGATAAGACCAATCACTGCTTTTGGGAGAGCTTCTTCTTTGTGAAGACGGAGCACGTGGTGTCAAATCCTAACGGATTTCCCGGGGAGTGGAATTACGCCCGTAAGTGTTTCGTATACATATATATATATATTTTTGTATAACGGCTTATGGTTGCCCCCTTCTAGTGATCTGATTGTTCTTCTTTTTCCCATTCTCTACTATGCAGCCAAGAAGTCGCCTCCTCCGCTAGTCGCTAACATTCGCAAGTGGGTGAGCGAGGTTTTTCCCCATACTATGGGGATTCATGAATGGTCGCTCTTTCACGAGAGATTCAGGCGTAGACCTTCTACCGGTGAGTTATCTCATCATGTCCTTCGTCGCTTTGCCCTTTGCTTTGTATTTTCCTCCTTGGTTTAAGCTTCTCTTATTGGTAGGTTGATGGGTCATGAGGAGGGCGAGGACTCCCATACCCTCTTTCCGTCAGCCGAGTCTCTCGACCGGATCTGCGCTGATTGCGGCTGCAAGTGAGAGTGTTCAGGTTGCTGCTACTTTACAGACTACGTCCCCTCCCGGGCTCGGCAGTCATGAGGTTGCTCATTAGGCGGAGGCTCCGCTTCCCGTGGTTCATTTTCTAGACGAATCATCTCAGGACGACGGCGAAGAGGCTCTATTAAAGAGGCGGCGAGTAAGGGCCGATGGGGCACCCAGGACCGAGGGGCCTTCAAGGGCAATCCCGTGTTGGCGGTGTCTGAGCCTGCTGGTGATGCCAATTTAGATGAGGAGGCCATGTCCCCCTCGGGCGTGGAGGTGGTGCCTATTTCTGGCGTGCGGGAGTCTACCGTGGTGGGAGGAAGAACTCGGAGGCCGCTGTGATCATTCTGAGTGGTCCATCGACTTGATAATAGGCTCGTGCTCCTTCTTCGGCCTGCGAAAGGGCAAATGGCGTAGTTGTGGATGACTATGAATCCGGTTCAGATGTTGACCCCGAGGACATAAGCATGTTTGAAACGGGGTTCACTCGGGTGGAGGCGAGAACGGATAGTTCCTTCCGTGTGATCGAGATTGCTCTAGATTGCGATTTGTTGGAGGATACGGTGATACTGGCACCCCAATTCGCCCTCCTTTGTTCTACTACTGAAAGCAGGTCCTTCTAGGAGATCATCGATGTTGGCCTATCATGGGGCATAGCCGGAATGGCTTTGAGGGTGAGTTTATTGCTTTCTTCGTTTTACATCTTCTACTCTTGCTGACTTTCTCTCTCTTTTCTCTTTTCTCTTTTCTTTCTTCATACTTTCATTTTGGAAACTATGAGTATCTACTGCGAGGAGAGGTGGGCTGCCACTTTTCAGAAAATGGTTTCAAAATACCACAGATGTCGTGACAAGTGCCGTGAGATGCATGCGCGGCTCCGGGCAGGCGGCCATCCTCAGTCCCTTAGGGAAGAGTTGGAGCGAAAGGATGAGGACCTAATGTGGTATATTGGCAGATGCAGCGAACTCGAGGGCTACTTAAGGCTAAAGAAGAAGAGCTTGAGGTGGGCAAGGGGGGTCGCCGCTGAGTGTGTTGATCTTTAGGTGAAGGTGGTGGCCTTGCGGGCAGAGTTTGAGCAGAGTGCCACTAGAGTCGACGGTCTAAGTGTTGAATTGGCGGAGAAGGTGACCGAGTTGGAAAGGAAGGTGATCGAGCTGAAGAGTGTTGCGGGAGTCCGAGTAGCGGCCTTGGCGAGAGTTGCGGCACTGGAAGATTCTATCCGTGTCCTAAGGTCTGGACGCGCAATTGAGATGGAGACGGCCGCTCTGAGGGAGGCGCGGCTTGATGAGAGAATTAGCGGGCTGGAGGGGAACGTCTTGACTCTGAGCGATCAAATTGCTGATCTCGAGTCTGAGAGGGCTCAATTGTTGGCTTCGACTCCTCCTGCGTCAGCCTTCGTTGCTGTTCCTCGTCCTTTGTACGAGATGTTATCCACGATGAGGCCCGGCGGGATATATATAAGGGTTTGTTGGCAGCGGGGAATGTTCCTGAAGCTGCTTTTTAAGAAGCTCGTGTTAAAGCGCGTGAGGCCCGGCTTGCCTGCGGCTATGACCCCGTGATGCCGGTGGAGATGATGAGGCCGAGGACGAACTTACCTTTGATGATGAGCATTCTGATGGAGAGGGAGACGGTGGAGGTGAAGCCACTGAACCAAGTAGGGAGAGGGATGATGGTGTGGATGGAGGTGACGCTAAGTGACGCTTTTGCACTTAATTTTTCCCTTTTGTATTTCATTTTTTTGTACTTAGTCAGTTGGGAGGGAACCCCCTTTGGCCCTTTGAAAGACGCTATATATATATATATATATA